CATACATGATGGTAAACTGAGTCTTTTGGAAGACATTTGAAGGTGTCACCTTGGTCTGTGGGAAATTACAATGGTATTTTTCACTTGAATTAAAAAAACAACTAGCTGACGAATTAATAACAAAAATAATTGTCAGTTTTAGTCCTAATTTGATTTGATTCTTGGTTCTTTTTGTCACGATTAAAGTCAAAATGGATTCTCGATTAGAGTTGCTACGATTTATCTAGTAGTTGTCAACTTGATTTGATAATCGATTTATTGGTTCAAGTCATTTTATATGGGAAAAAAAAAAAGTAAAACATCTCTGATTCCAGCTTCTTACATGTGAATATTTTCTTTACTCTTTTATGACAGTAAAGTGAATATCTATGGGTTGTGGACAAAACAAGACGTTGGACGACGTCATAGTCAGCTTTGGGAAACACTTCTTGATCAGCATTGCTCTTTAAGCACCCTTCTTTTTGTGCATAGACGTTCCAAATAAATGGATATTTTTTTGAATTGATCTGGGCTTGTGAACCCTCTGCTGTCCTTTCTTGGTTGTCCATTGTATCGACGCACCCAAGATAAACTTTTTGTTGCCCTAAGTAGGCGCAGTTTCACAGTAGCCCTAAGACTTTGCAGTGTTTTCAGTGATCTGCTGTCTCCATTTTGTTTAACATGGCTAATTTTGCTGCGATCAACAGACTGACAGACATCCAAGCCAACACAGGAACATTTTCTGACCAAGATATTGATTCTATAATTTTCAAAAACACTGATTTTCTTGATGCCACTCAAGGACTGAAACATTTGCTGCTGTTTTTAATCACTTTTTATTATTTTTTGCACTTTGAGCACTTTTCTTTTCATGCTCAGATGTTCTAAATAGACATTTTCCTGCATTGATCTCAGCCTGTGAACCTGTTTTGTGGCTGTGCAGGTATCTCCTCTGCCGTCCTTTCTTGGTTCGCCATTTTATAAACCAAACAACTGATTGATTCAGAGAGAACATAATCAGCAGCAATGAAAACTATCATTAGTTGCAGCCCTATTCTTGATTCAATTAATAAAAAACAGGGCACCATTTTCTGACTCTTTCTCCTGTGTGCATCAGAAATAGAAATTTCTGAATCATTTACAGTTTTCAGTGTTTTTAGGTCAACGAATTTCAGAATGAAAGTTAACTGACAGTGAGGCCAACTGGTATTGATGAAGATGATGTGCAGGAGTCTGCATGTCAATAACTGACACACTGCTGTAGCTTTGGCTTTAGAGAAACTATATGAATTTATATTTTTGCACATTAGCGTGCTGCCAGTGCTTTCCGTCCTGCTTATCTGCCCTCTTTTCTGATTGCCCTGTTATGCTGTTTGTTTGCATGCTGTGTTTACCTGTTGGTACTCAGAGGGAAGTTGAAAGAGTGCAGGTCAGGCCGTGTTGCATGTAGCAGGTTTTACACGTCACTGCTTTACCAACATAAAGAAGAAGTTGACCAGATAACAGTCATCCTCAGCTGTGATATGTTGCAGGGTTACGGCCTTTTTCTGTACATTTGGTTTGAAGTGGTTTCTTTGCTTACATGCAATTTACGACTACGGGTGTTCAGATATGACTCAGTTACTGGTTCATCATATTTACAGCAGGCTGAATTTTACTTGAAGGGTCAAATAACCCCAATTACCTGTAGTGCTATTTATCAGTCTGGATTGTTTTGGTGTGAGTTGCTGAGTGTTGGAGATATCAGCCGTAGAGATGTCTGCCTACTCTCCAGTATAATAGAACTGGATGGCACTCAGCTTGTGGTGCTCAAAGCGCCAAAAATTACATTGGAAGAACTCAACAGCAATGTCTCTCAGTAGAAATCATGACCAGGTTACTCAAGATAATCCACAGACCTTGTTGTGAGCAGTTTTATGTAGGAACTATTTTCTTTCTACACCCACCATCCGTATCACCACGCAGAAGGAAGAGTGCATCTACTGCTAGCTCACCCAGCACCAACCTAAGGAGGACACTGGGGTGTAATGATACATTATTCTGATTCAGTGATGAGCAATCCCATATGATCGATGAAAAGCTAGAATACTGATAGGTATCGTCATCTTGAAGATGCACCTTTTGTTTGAAATTCCCACAGCATGACTGTGTCACCGTTTCACACCTCCTTCCTAAATGTTCAATAAGTGCTAGCGGCCTAGCGGTGTGCAGATAAATGAGGATGTTGTTGTACGTCAGTCACAGGCCCCTGAATTGAATGGAATCAATATCATATCATGACGGACTTTGATATCAGCAAATATTGTATAGTGTCTTCCAAAGAATTATATGGTGTCTAGGGATGCCGATTCTTGGCAGCTAACTGATTAATTAAATGCAGAGAATAGAGTGTGCCAGGGCTGACGTCAAAACCCGGAAGTTTAGCATCGCGCTGGTTCCCGGAAGAGAAAGTGAATGTGATTTTTGCATTGTGTTTTGGATTATGTCAGAAAATAAGCTCCATGGCTAACACAAGTTTATGATACTTACAGGTTTTGTTCAGCGAGATAATCTTCACATATGAACACCTTTCATACCGCATTTGAAGCTTAAATGCGATCGCCAGAAGTAAAAAGCTAACGTTAGGCTATAACGGACTACATGACTACTCCACGGTCGCGTGACTCTTTACATCACTGCCACAAAGCTTTCAACTGATTTCGGCCGCTTTATTTTAAAAACACTGTATAATGGGGAAATCGGACTGTTTAAGCTAAATAAGAATTTGTAATAGCGGACTGCCAGCGCTCTCGCCTGTTCGGGGGTGATGACGTTTAATGTCCCCAACAGGGTTTGTAGTCGTATTGAGCAACTTGTTAGCAACCACCTTTTTTATGACACGTAGAAGCTTCAAAATTCACAAGTAGGATATTTACTGCGTGTTTTATGTCGTAGAACAAAACCTGAAACTCGCTTAAGCTTTTGTTAACCACAGACCTTATTTGAGGCATTTTACCAAAATCCCATTCAAAAAACGTATTGACTTTTAGACAAGAGAACCGGAAGTGCTAAAAGCGCTAACGGAGTTCCGGGTTTACTGGCACACTCTATATATTTGACTGTTTAAGCATGTTGGTCTGTAGGTTAATTTTGCTAGTCTTCAGTCTACTGCACTGCGCACCACCCAGGTCTGATGGGAACTAGCTAGTGGTGCACTCACTCACGCAAATACTACTAGTCATGCCATCCTGACCCAACAGTGTTGCTGTGGAAACACAGTGGCTACCCGCAGGTCCCCCCACAGGTCGCTCCGTTGAGTAAGCGGCTAAGTTTTGAGCTGCTAACCTCCTTTAGCACTGTTAGCTCTGTCAACAGTGTCAGTGCAACGAGTGTTACTAACGTAGCTAACAATGCTAAATGGGTTTTGTGGCTCAAAATGAAGCCGCATACTCATTGGGGCCACCTGGGGGGAGACTGGAGGGTGACCACCATGTTTCTGCTACCGGAGTGGCGTTAGCAGCGGTAAAACAGAATGCTTTATGACCAGGGTCTCTAACCAAACTCCAGACTACATGAGCTTGACAACGTGTTTCTAAAGTATAACTTGGAAGTTTTTCTGTGGCTGTGGATTATCTTGAGTAACCAGATAATGATTTCCAGAAGGAAAGAGAAAATATGTATTTTTGATTTTGGGTTGAACTGTCCCTTTAAAGTCAACTTTCCACTCTAGTACAGATATAATGAATGAAGGTATATGATGCTGTCATCATAGAGGAAGTGAATGATTCATTGACAGTGAGGTCATGAGGATGTAAAGCTTGAAAGAGCAGAGCAGAAACTCAAAGTGAAACAAGCTGTCATGTCGGTGTCATCAACCCAGTTTTGCTGTTACATGACAGATCACCTCATGCTTTTCTGGAGTCCATGGTCTCATCACAGCCCCGACAAACACCTCTGACTGGTTGGTGGAAACACTTCTGGGAAAGTCGAACTGCACTTCCTGTGCGTCATGTGGGACAGCTGTACCTGCTGCAGACAAAATGCATATTTGGGCAGAGACAGAACGCCCTCAGATACTAATGTTTCACTAAAACTTTTAATTCATGTGACAAGCCTTTCATGTAATTATGTGCTAAATGATGAAAGAGGTTGTTTTCGGTCGCCTCAATTTGAGACAAACAGTGAGGCTTTTGTCATGTTAGTATCTCAGTCTACGTGTTCGGTTGAGCAGCACAGTGCCCTCTGCTTTTAATAATCCCTTTCAAGTGTTTTCATGTTGTATATTTTGGCACACATTACGGCAAATTAGCATAAAAATGTAAATTAATCAGTCTCCTTGTTAAAGAGGGATTTTTACCACCCACTGCCCATTTGTAAAACACTATGACGTACCTTGTATCCTGAATACAGAAGTGTTTACTCTGCTATGTCCCAGCGGCATCGTCTTTTTTAAAATGCTGCATGTTGCCTCAGACCAAGAGAAATCTGCCGTTGGCGATTATGCACCATTGAACTGGAAGAGCCGTCAGGAAATTATCAAGTCAGATGCATTTTTACAATTCAGATTAGTGCACGAGGCCTGAAAGCTGCTGTTATCGGGTTGTTACGTTTTTATTAGTGTTTTACACTTAATGGATTTAGCACCATATGGTCGAACACGAGGTCTGTATCTCCACAACTACGACTTATTATTTCAAGCTGTTAAAACCTAGATAAGAAGATCCACACCTTTATTCAATGTGGTGTTGGCCATCTCGGCTCCTGCACCTGAAACACGAGGAGCTTCTTGTGTCGATGCACGACCTGTTTAAACGTGCCACGGTTTGAATAAAGCTCCGTACACCTGCTTTAACCTGCCTGCTGATGCCTACACGTCCTGTCACCTGCCTTTATTTGAGCACAGTGCCACTACACACTGCCAAGGCCGCGGTGACAAACGTGTGTGTACGTGCACTATTGTGTAACGCAGTGTTTACTCTGTGTGTGTTTGTGGTTGATAACCAGCCCACTCATGTTTTCTTCTCACTCTGTGTCTTTTGCAGGAAGTTCGGGGAGCGCCCTCAGCCACTGCGCCTAACAAGGTGAGTGTGCACATACACACGTACTCTGTTGTCATGGTGGTTTTTGTCTGGCCGTGTGTTTACTATAGACATTTGAGTCTCTCCCGCCTCTGAGGAAAATGTCAGCAGATTTTTGAGAAACGCTAAATGTGCGGGAGGTAAAAACTGACTGTCACAACAACATTTGGGTACACAAAAACACCACCAAACATTGAACAACATATCAATACACACACAATGCACAAACACCACCAGTGGAAAACCTCTTCCACTCCACCCCTCCCTACCATAGACCCATTTTTATCTTTTTTATGGGGGACATGAAATAATTAAGGGGAGATAGCAGGTCATCAGTCTCTGTCTCATCTGCAAGCTGGGAACCTGAAGATTAATTTGAATAAGCTCAGCACTGTGTATCAAGTTTTTTTTAAATATTATAATAACAGTGCTTAAAAAATCCCTGAAATTCAAATGAGTTTTATTCATTATAATGAAATTACTCAGAATCAGAAATCATTCAGCTTTTCTTTTTTTCTTTTTTTAAATTCTGACACGTCACCGCCTCGTGCTGCGCTCTCCCTCCCCTTGATGACATCCCGTCCGACATCGTATTTTATTCTTTCTTCCTTTAACTCGTAAAACTCTGGTAAAACCAGTCGGCCCATGCTGACATGACAGAACGTAACACACTTTACTCAACAAGTCTGCTTTTCACTGTGACTTGTTTTCGTGTCTCTTCAGCTGTGAGCTGATGTTAAAGCTCCGCCGAAAACTGAAAGTGAAGTTTAAGTTCCATCTGGCATCATTTCACCTCACAACTTTTAGATGGTACTATGACGCTGAAATGTTTTGTTGAGGATTTTATAGTTATTCCTAAAAAGAGTTGGATGAGTAACTAGTCGCTGAAAAGAGAGACCGTGATCGCATCGTTTGTATAGGTCAGTGTTTAATAAAAAAGAAAATGAAAAATAGTGCTTAAAAAAGGACTTAAATTTTATTTTGTGATGTCTGTATGAACCCTAATAATAAACATTGTGTTTTGGTTAGATGCATATTAAAACTTTGAAAGTTTAAAGTGTATAGGGGCTTAGAATATTATGATGGAAGTAAATGATGGCCACTCCCATGCTCTATTATGTCTTGCAAGTTTTTGCAGCAATTTTTTTGGGTTGATACCATTTGTTACTCAGATTTGGTGCTAAATTAAAACATTTTTTAACTCTCAAGAATTGATAAAAATGGCTAAATTCCCTTTAAAATACCACATTCAGACACCAAGACTCTTAGGAACACCATGGAAAAATCTGTGCTATGATTTGGTATCAAAAACTTTTGAGATTTGGAGATTTTGACGCGTCCCACACTGTTGGCAGTAGTTGGCCCGGAGTTGTAGGTGAATGAAATACCACTGATTGGCAGTTCAGCTCAGTGCACAAGTAGAGAAACAAAGTGAGGAACGTAAACAAAAAGCTAAAGTCAAAAGGGAGTGAGATCGAAACAAACTTGTTATATTAGGTAAGACTATTTTTTAGCAGAAATAGTTCATAATTGTTTGTTATCAGAGTGTCTACAGGTCTTTAAAATGTCTAAGTTTCTGAATATAAAGCCTTTTAAAAGTCTTAACTTGTCTTGAATTCAGATTTGATGGGTCTTAAATATCTTCGGTCACATTACCGCTAAAATTTCTCCAGCCTGACAGACCCAGGGACTGTTTACAATCATTGGACAGACCGGAAAAATATTGCAATGATAAATGGCATTTATGACAGTGATGAGATTTTGTTGTCTTTTTACGCTAAACACAGGAAACTTAAAGTCACCTAATTGTTTCTGTGTGTGTGTGTGTGTGTGTGTGTGTGTGTGTGTGAGAGGAAGGGCTAGGTTAAGCCGGGCTACAGATGTGTCATTCTCGCTTACTGTTCATTTATCAGTGTGTATACTTGGAAAGAGTACTTACATATGTGTCCTGTTGGTCTTCCAGTTTTCTTTTTTGAATGATGAATACAGACTACTGCTGCCTGCTGGTATGGAGAGTCATTTCCTCGCATACCGGCGCAGAACTTATTTGCTCATTGGTCGTTGGCTGTAGTCTTTGCGGCATGTCCAGGTGCAACTTTCTGGCTGAGACACAGTCTATGTGAGTCGGCCTTTGTAGCCCCTAGTTCTTTGATATCAATTTGGTGAGTGTGGGCCTTAAAGCCCACTCCCTGAAAGACTGTAACGTTGACCGAGGATAGTGGCGTCCCCTCTGAATGGTAGAGGTTAAGACATTCACGTCGACATCAAAATCATTGCCAATCATCGTCACCAACAGAATTTGACAGGGATCCTGATTTTCTAACAGTGTTACAAGGTGTCTTTAAAAATCTATAATCAGATTAGCGCAGAGCTCTGGTATGAAAAGTCGTCCACCTTTTTCTCATTATCGTTCTGTACGCATTTGGTAGAGGCCCATCAAAAACATTTTGATTTCTGACTGGTTTCATGCAACACATCAAACTGACGATGAGCTCATTCCTGGTGGTGATGCATATGAAGTTAGAAATGCATCTGCATTGACCGCAACATAAATATATTGCAGATCGGCTGCTTGTTGTTGCCACAATAACAACAGCAGCTTGTTAACCTAGCAAAACAACATTACATGCGTAGTTTTACTGTGTGATTCTGGCCCGGTCGTCCATGTTTCCACCAGCTGTTATCTGTTGACCCCTGCTCCATGACATCATGTGCTCTGCGATTGATTGTTTATTAGTTAGATCTGTGTAGTTTTTCCTCTTGAGGCACGCTTTGCTTGTGTTGAAATGAACACCATGTCTCGCAGTTGTTTGTAGGAAGCCAGAGAAAACGATAAATCGCCTTTTCCGAGGACTCGCAGTCTAAACTTGTGCTCTGGTCTGTGCGCTGTGTTCTACTCACAGTGCTGCAAGTTTTTGATTATTCTGTCTCTCTAATGTTTGTTCCAAGTCATTTGGAGCAACATTTGGGTGAACACATAACGTTGATGGATGTTGTGGTTTGCCCTGGACGTGTGTGTGTGTGTGTGTGTGTGTGTGTGTGTGCACTTGTTTGCTGGTTGGTGTCTCTCTTTGTTACTGGGAACGGGCACTGCCTGTGTGTGTGCATGTGTTCGTCCTTTGCGCGTGGCGCTCAGCGGGGAAAATGAGGGGTTGCATACTGCCTGGAACAGCCTAGCATGGTTTTGGAAAAAAGGGGCCACAGCACCTTTTGATGTGTCCCCCTCTTCATTCATGTGCTGCCAGTCCGCTGGCTTGCACCGGCCCCTCCATTTGTCTGATGGTTTCGATGGCCAGAAATATGACGGACACAAAACACTCTTTACCCAGCAGCCCAGAGTGTGTGTGTGTCTATGTGCCCCTGTGTATCGCGGTGTTGTGTTCTTTGTGTGTGTCGCTTTGTATCTGGCTCAGTGTCCTCATGTCTGCATGTTCACTCACACCCCCCTCTTCTTCTCATGGCAACAACAGCCCCACGATTTTCTGTCAGGCAGCAGCACAGACAGCTAAAACAGCGCACCGTCCTGCAGGGGCTTTTTAGGGCAGCTAAAGCTCTGGGTCCTGCAGGGCCGCCCTGTCAGGAAGGCTACTCGACTGGAAATACAATACATGACACACATACACTGGAAATGAGCGCTCACAGGCACGCACACACACACACACACACACATCTGAGATTGAGACACGCGCACAAATCTGCACACAAACAGACACAACACATGAACATAGAGGCTGGATAAGCTGCCTCCTCTGTTGGGGGAGCCGCCCCTTCAAGGGCTTATTCTCCCAAACAACAGGGGAAGGGCCAGCTCTGCAGAATCCATCGCCTCAGATGGAAACGCTCAATATACACAGCTTTGAGTTCAACACTTGTTTGTCAAAAGGGACGAAATTCAGACTGAAATAAAACCCTGATGACCATTAATTTGTGCCAGGCTATTGTTTGGTCTGGGAGTGCATACTGGGAATTAAAATGTTTTGTTCTTAAAACATGTTTCCTCCAATCTTTGATTGATGATTTGAATTTCTTTTCCAGGCCTTGAAAATATCATGTTCATAGGCACAGTCGTGCACGTAAAAGTTGAGCTGTGCTCGCAATTCTCAGCTTTACATACACTTAAAGGCCCCGGACACGCCAACATCAAAGAGTTACTGTACGTTCACACCAGAAGCTTCCAAAGAGGCAAAGTCTCTCACGGACATCCAAGAAGCACGACTGTCAAAAAGCTTTGCACGCTCTAGTCGCTCATCACGTGAATCATTGAACATTCGATCGTGCTTGTCAATTTAAAGGAGCAGCTAAGCGGACTACTGGCTTGAAAGCAGTGTAGTTGCTGCTTGCTGTTGTCCAGTCAAAAAGCTCATAGTTGGCCAACAGAAAGTTATGTTTGGTCAATGAAAACAGAAAACGTATGTCATCCCATTCAAACCAAGCAAGGAAGACTTTCATGCTACGTCGCAACATTAGCCCGCAATTTTCTCCTCTATTAATAACATTACACACTTTAAAACTCACCAGACCAACCAACTACCTCCACGATGCGATCCCAAGCCTCATTCTTTTTATTTTGGTCTCCATAACAAACAGCGACACATTATAAAGGACTGAGTGGGCGAAAACGCATGTAATAAACTTCTCGATATCCATTGTCGGAACAAGTGTGCTGTAGGAACCAAAGTTACATGGCTTGTTCTCTGGGACCCACTTCATCGAAGCACATCAGCATTCCGATTGGTTGTCGCCGAACCGCGTCAGAGCTCATTACCATAAAGTTAAACGAATTTTAACTCCCCTCCGGAGCCACTGTGGTCACTTTGGTCGCCCAAGGCGCTCAAGTCTCCGTGCTGTCATTGAAAATGAATGACTTCCGCCGTTTTGGAAGCTCTGGTCGCTTTTGGTGTGAACATACAGTTAGAGCCGATAAAGGCTGATGGTTGCATTGCCTCCTGTTGCCTGTGGCTCAGCCAAAAAGTTGCACTTGAACACACTGTGAGGACTGTGGC